GCCATTCTTTCCGGGGCCATTTTTTCCGGGGCCATTTTTTCCGGGGCCATTCTTACCGTACACCAATGGATTGATATTAAGTCCAGGTTCCAACTGCATAGGAATTTCATCTTCACTAGGATCTACGGTGATTAATTTTATGAGAGTCCTAGGGCTGTATTCAGGAGCATCAATATTGGGAAAAGTAGAGGAAGATGATGTTGGTGTCTGTGGCACAGACAGTGCTGTGGGTGAACCAGTTGCGTTGGTAGACTCCATTTCAGAGGAATAATCACTCTGTACAGGAGGCACATTGAAGCCAACTGACCCTTCGTCTAGACTGGACTGGTCACAAACAGTATCTGCAGGCTTTGATATAATAACATCTACAACAGATTCATCTTCATCATCTGAGCTAGAAATGTATTCTACCTCAACTCTTGTCTGCGTCTGTGATCGGGTCTTTGGTCTGGTAGGCTTTAATGGAGCTGGTGTTGGTTTATCCATTCCTGTTATATAACCTACTGGTAATATATGATCCCTATGCAATGTTTTAACTAAATCATTTCCTTTTTCAGGTTTTAGCCTGTAAACTGGTATGTCTGGTAACTTTTCAATGATGATAAAAGGTTCAGATTTCCAACGGTCAGCCAATTTATTCTTCCCTTTAAGGCCTAGATTTCTAATTAACACTCTGTCTCCTGGCTGTAACACAGAATTGGTTATTCGAACTTTCTTGTCATATCTTTGTTTGTTGGCAGCTCCAGACTTTTCCGATTCGGTTCTTGCCAAATCATAAGCTCTTTTAAGACCATGACGAAGATTTTCCACATATTTACTGTGAGTGTGATTTGAGTTGCCATTAGGATGTAAATCAAAACAGATATCAATCGGCAAGCGGGCTTCTCTTCCAAACATGAGGAAGTAAGGAGAGTATCCAGTGCTATCATGCTTGGTACAATTGTATGCGTGTACCAGGGCACTGACATGCTTGCTCCAGTTAGTTTTCTTTTCACTCTCCAGCGTACCAACCATATTTAACAGTGTCCGATTAAACCTTTCCGGCTGAGGGTCTCCTTGTGGGTGGTATGGAGTTGTGTGTGACTTTTTGATGCCCAAAAGACTTGTAAGTTCTTTAATTACCTTACTCTCAAACTCCGGTCCCTGATCAGAATGGAGCCTTTTCGGCAGTCCGTAGTGCTGAAAGTACTGTTGCCATAATACTTTTGCAACGGTAAAGGCAGTCTGATCTTTGGTTGGGAATGCCTGAGCATATCTGGTAAAGTGGTCTGTCACTACTAGTATTGACTTCTTGCCACTACCATCAGGTTCCAAGGAAAGGAAGTCCATACACACTAACTCCATAGGTCCACTGGTCACAATACTATGTAGAGGTGCACTTTTTGCCGGCAAAGATTTTCTGGCTAGGCAACGGCCACAGTGTTTGATCCACTCTTCAATATCCGTTGACATTTTCGGCCAGTAGAATCTTTCTCTAGCCAGCGCTACTGTGCGTTCTATGCCATGATGACCCAAATCATTATGTAGCATGGTTATGGCCTTAACTCGATATTTCTTTGGCAAAAGTAGCTGTTCCATTTTGCTATCTTCTTGTGGTCTATAAACAGTGCTCTCTTATACACATCTAGATGTGTATAAGAGACAGCGCTACCATCTGCTTTAGATCCTTCAAAATCTCATCAGCGTCCTGTGCCTCACCCCAGTCAACGGTATCTGAAAGGGATGATTGGTTGCTGTACAGATCTGGAATACATTGGGCACTACCTCCAAGACAGTAGGCGTAAGGTAGCATATCATTAGACTTACTGGTCATAGAGTGAATGCCATACACTGCATTAATTATTTCTTTTGGTGAGACCTCATTGACTCTGGTTCGCAACTCTTCTTTAATCTTGTTCTGGTCAACCTCATCGGCTAAAGTGGCATCAGATGCAAGTGGTCTACGTGAAAGTGCATCTGCATCCTGATTGGTTCTTCCAGGCTTGTATTTTATAGTGAAATCGAAATTAGCAAGGGCGGCTAACCATCTGTGACCCGTGGCGTCCAACTTAGCTGAGGTGAGTACATATGTTAATGGGTTGCTATCAGTCATGACTACAGTGCCTTTTGCATGGTATAGGTGATCTTTGAACTTATCAGTTATGGCCCATTTTAAGGCCAGAAATTCCAGTTTGTGGGCTGGATAATTTCTTTCGCTTTGGCTTACTGTCCGACTGGCATAAGCTACAGGTCTTAGTTTATCTTTGACTTGCTGTAGCAATACTGCACCTAGCCCGTCTCGGCACGCATCCACATGAAGCACAAATGGCTTGCTTAGGTCAGCATAAGCCAAGACAGGTGCAGACGATAGCTTGGTTTTAAGTTCTTCAAAGGCCTTATTACATTCGCTGGTCCACAGGTTAGCAAATGGCTCTGAAGACTTCCTCAAATTAGTGTTTTGTACTCTTCTGTTTGGTTTACCACGTTTAGGCGCAAAGGCATACTTGCTGGCTAATGCATGGAGAGGAGCAGCAATTCTGGAATACCCCTCAACAAATCTTCTATAGTATCCGGTCAAGCCAAGAAAACTTCTTAAATCTTTGGCTTGTCTGGGGGTAGGCCATGACTTTACACTGGATACCTTTTCAGGATCGGTCTGGATTCCATTTTCGCTTACAATATGCCCAAGATAAGTCACGGACTTACAGAAAAATTTACATTTTTCAGGTGAAACCTTGAGTCCAAACTCTTTTAAGCGGTCGAGAACTTTGGTAACACGATGTTCCATTTCCTCTACCGTTTTAGAGAAGATGATGATGTCATCCATATATACCAGGGCTTCGATGAAATTCATCCCCGACATACAAGATTCCATCAGTCTTTGAAAGGTTGAGGGTGCGCCCTTGATCCCCTGTGGCATTCTCTCAAATTCATAAAATCCAAGTGGACATGTGAATGCAGTTTTCTCCTTGTCGGACCCTCGCATTGGAATTTGATAGAATCCTGACTTAAGGTCAATGACGGAAAACCACTTTGACCCACTCAGGCAATCTACTGCGTCTTGGATCAGCGGCACTACATATTGGTCAGGAACAGTCCTTGAATTTAGTTCTCTATAATCTACACACATCCTTAAAGAACCGTTCTTTTTTCTCACTAAGACAATAGGAGATGCGAATCGACTTTTTGATGGTTTAATGATACCGTTATTGAGAAGTTCTTTAATGTGATTCTGTAAGTCCATCAGGTCACCTGGGGGTACTCTTCTTGTTCTTTCTCGAAAAGGTGTTGTATCTGTCAGGTTTATTTCGTGTTGCGCATTAGTGGTTAGGCCAAGGTCCCATTCATGTTTCGCAAACACATCCAGTCTTTCCTGAAATCTAGCTAACATTCTGGTTTTGACCTCACTAGGAATATCTGTATTGGTTACCAGCCTTCTTCTTACACTCCTGGCGAAGTTGGTTGAACAGTCCGGTATTGGTGCCAATAATTACCTCATGTGAATTAGGAGCGTCAGGAACCACCAGAACCAGAGCTTCAAAATGTTTACTAGTTCCAGCAAATGCAGAGGGAAACGCAATCCCAACCTTGGTCCAGCCAAGGTATGGGATCTTGCCTCCACCACCATGCCAGAGGATTAGATCCGTTAATGGAAGTAGTTTCTTCTTTAGCTTCTCAAATACCGAATTATTAATTGTTGTAACTTGCGAACCACTATCTAGAAGGCAACACTGTTTAAAACCATCGATGAAACATTCTTCTGTGACACTTTCTCCCACCAGTCCCAGAGGAATGTCACCTAAGGGTGGGGCTAATCCTGCTTGTTCGACATCTGTTTGCCCCTTCTCAGATGTCCCTTGGCGTTTCCCTGCTGGTGAAGATGACTAATTAGTTTTCCATTCACTAACGCCGTATTTGCTTGGTTTGCACAACTACGCTTCATATGTCCATCTTGACCACAGTTGTAGCAAAACCTCGGAAGATCCGAGCTTTGGTTGGTTCGCCGTTCTCTACTTGGAGGCGGCTGACTTTGTTGTTGTTGATGTACATGAGCGTTACCTAATGAAGAATGTTTCAACATCTTTTCGATTTTGCTCATCCTTTCTGCTAAATCATTGTTGCTGACAGTATGTGCTGCTGCAACTGAATTTCGGCTTTGACCCTTAGCCTTTTCTTGTTTATTTGACTCTTCCTCCCATCGCCTGACTTTACCTAGTAGAGTCAGGTATGTTGGTGGCGTTTCGTGAAGCTCTCTTAAACGGAGGTCTACTAGCAGCAGTGGCTCATAGATTATTCCTCGAATGAACTGTTTTAGTATTACAGCATTCATCTTATCTTCTGGAATACCACCCTTCTGCAGAACATGTCTGAGGGCTCCCTGTAGACGACTTAGGTAGTGAGAGGGTGTCTCCCCTGCTTTTTGTTCAATGGCAAAGAATTGGTGGAATAACTCTTCACCTGTCAGTGTAGATCCATACACTACCTCTAGGGCTTGGAGATAGTCCTTTGCCGTAGCTGATGGATTTTCTCTCCTCAGGTCATCGATTACTTCTAGGGCAGGAGAGCGCAGCGCCTCCCTTAGTCGTCTTCGCTTTTCAGCTTGCGACACCTCGGTTTCAGCTTCTTCTATCAGCGCTTTTGCCTGTGTTTTCCACACATGATATGGATCCTCGTCTTTTCCGTGCACGGTGCTCCCAGAAAATACCTTTAACTTTCTATAACTTATGGACAAACGTGCCACATCTAGTAGCTCCTTCTGAGATGATGCCAGAGTTTGATTGGATGGGGCAATGGATGTGGACGGCCCTGGTTGAGGATTGGCTGTGATTATAATAGGGGTGAATTCAATAAGGTCACTCTTTTCAGAGACTTCAATGGTTTCAGGAATGGTTAAATCAATTGTCTTCACAGAAAGTCTGGCGAGAACGAAAGTTTTCTGTAAATCATGCCTATCGACCTCTTTCCTTCTCTTGACCTCCACTGGCAAAGCAGCACACAACTTTATAAACAGCCTAGAAGTAGCCATTTTTGTTCTTGGTGCTAAAAGTAAAATACATTTATCAATGGGGTAACCTACACTATTGGCCCAATCAGTTGCATATTCTACTAATTTTGACATCTTGGCTCTTAATACAGCTAAATAGAAATAAATAAAACTCTTAAATACACTATAATACCAAAGAATGAATTGTGTAAACATACAAGACGAATTCCCGGACGAGCCCCCAATTTGTAACCCGAGTTTCCTTGAAAAACCAAATATTCCAGGACAATATTACAAATAAATAATAATCCAGGAAGACGCCTTGTTAAAATATATATATTAAGTATTTATTCGAAAATAAAAAATGAATTGGTGAGATTTGATTTCACAATATGAATAGAATCTAGGTTGCGCAAATTCTTGATCGCGAAATTGTTCTTTCTTGTCCAAGTGTTTCCAAAAGAGTTTTAAAAAGAAGTTCAATGTACGAAAAGAGTTCCACACTTCCAATTGCTGGTAAGATTACAGGTCCTTTCCAATAGTTATGTTAAATCCAAAATTAATAATATCCGAAATTAAGTTTTCGTCTATAAAAGAGAAAATATAAACACTTAAAACTAAAAGATCTAAACTAATAAAATATACGAATATATCAATACTTGTACATACATTCCATGATGTACAATACAATTAGTCTACCAAAATTGTATAGTGCTTGCAATTAACCAAAATTAAAACTAAAAATCAATTAAATGTTTGAATTACTATATCAGTCAACATTACACTAGTATACACGAATATATCAATACTTGTACATACATTCCATGATGTACAATACAATTAGTCTACCAAAATTGTATAGTGCTTGCAATTAACCAAAATTAAAACTAAAAATCAATTAAATGTTTGAATTACTATATCAGTCAACATTACACTAGTTCAAAACTGATTAGCTCAAGATAAACATCCAAATTAATTAAACAACATAGTTACATAAATAGCTTAGGTTCAGGCTAGGTAAGTATGCTAATACATTTATACCACTTCGCTAAGATGCAACCTAACGGATAAATTATTACTAATAAATCCAATATTATGCCTGCCTATTTTCCACTAAAACTGGCATATACTTCGTCTATCTGAATATCATGATCGTACTTAAGATCAAGATGGTTAATGCATTCGTTCCTTTATAAAATGATAAATTAAAGAATAAAACATAAAGATAAAAAACATTAAAAGTAACTAGTAATAATTTTACAATCGCACTCCAATGCCTCCAGGTCCACTATAACGTGAATGTATTGCCCTCTAGTGAATGACCCATATCCACCAGAGTTGTCCTGATATTTTGGCTTTTTATTGCTGACTTAAGATGTGTATAAGAGACAGAATACAAAACAGGAAATTATGATTCTTACCTATAAAAGAGCCAAGGTGTCAAATCATAAACAGTTGATAAAATGCAGTATAAAAATGGTAAAAGTAAGACTTCTCCGGGTTGATAAAATTGCAATATAAAAGATGTTAAAAGTATGATTTCTCAAATAAGGTGTAGCAAATATTAGGTCCTCAATCCTTACAGATGTTGCTTGTAAGCAGGGTCAGTGAGAAGTGAATTCCTTATCACTGTGGGGTGTCCGATAGCACCTATTGCCCAGCAGTTGCCTTAGCAACTGAGGACAAATTCCTAAACATAACCACTATTGAGAATAGCAGGGACACTAATACACTGAGTGGCCTCAGCTATAATATATACAGTACAGTACATTACCAAAGTTAAAACTTAAATGGAATAAAATAACGTTTATACCTTACAGAGTGGCAAATAATATCAAATTTAAAGCTTTTAAATGAGTAAAAATTTCACAGGGTTACACGTAATTAGTACAAAACTTTATTTATATATAACTGAAAAATAAATTAGATCAAAAATCATAAACTTTATGCTGTTAATCAAGATTATGCTTTTGTTCTTTTTATTTTCCAGGCTAATTAAATCGTCATCAAAGCAGAATTAATATTTTCACATATTGGATGACAGTGGCAAGCATCGTAAATCCCTATTTTTTTACAATTGCACATAATATTCCTGAAAAATGTACAATTCTATCATATCAATCAGATATATTTCTTTTTGAGAAAGCAAACGGAACACTAATTTCTGTTCGCATCTTTGTGCTAAAGAGACAAAATTTTCATACTACAATATAACGGTAAACCGGTACATTCCTCTAAAACAATAGAACTTTCAATAGCGTCTCACGTTATAATGTAGTTCAACACACGGCTGTGCACGTTGAACATCTGCAAAACCAACTTACGTCGCAATAATAATCTTTAAATATAGTTAGACACTCTCTGGTTTAATTTGTTTGGTGTTAATATTAGATGAATAAAATACTTTTCAATACATTAACGTTGACCAATTTTATGCTTTTGCACACATACACAAACATCCAGAACCAACAACATGTAATGTTCATAGCGGAAAGGCAAAACACATAGCTGTTTTTCAACAAATTCATCATGAAGTCTAGAGAAAAGGAAATTGTTTAAACTACAAAACTATACAAAAGCAACAGGAGAAATTTAAAAAAAAACAGTTTCATCATAACACATGTTCAAGTGATAAAAGTAATTGTTTGTCATCGTGTAGCGAAAAATGTTTAACAACTCCCAGCAAAATAGAGAAATCATTTGAGAAAATAAAAGATTCAAATAAAAGATGAATCGCACAGATTAGAAAAAAAAATGTATAAGAAAAAACCACCAAAAGAATTTAGAAAATAAATAAATTTTATAAAAATTTAAAAAAAAACAAATATAAATATGAAAAATAGTTTAGTAAAAAGAAACATGAAGGCAAAAAAAAAAATCATATCAAAATAACATTTAAAAAAAAAAGAAAAATAAATCACATCTTTCAAGATTTACCGTCAAATCCTAACATAAAACACAAACAAATCAAAACAAAACAAACAAAAAAACCAAAAAAGCCAAAAACAAAACAAAAACAAAAACCGACAAACTAAAAGTAGATCTGTTTACCAGCACTTTCATAATAATCTTATTATTTAAAAATAAAGAAAAAATAGGGAAATACCACCATAGCCCGTTCCTAGAAAAACAAGTTTACACTCTTCATGACGTCACTATTTTGGCCTATTGACAATAATGAAGCAACATAACAATACATGAATGAAACAAAATAACAAAAGGACTTCAAAATCTTTGCAATGGCTTGTCTTCTAGATATATTGAATTTCATTTATTTTATTTCAGATTTTATTTAGCACCCAGTACCAGCGAATATGCTCGTCCAAATATCGTACAGGAAAACTTTGTCATATCATAAAATCACCACAACAAAATCACACCAAATTCTAATAATTATCACAAGAAAAACGAACGACCTACTAAGCAACTCTTTTAACGAATACAAGCTCTGACAAACTTTACAACAACAAAAACATTCTAGATTGTAAGAAATTATTAAATAAAAAAAATTGAATACTAAGACAACATTTGCACCAAAACTGTTTAAACTCGTCATATCATACAAAAAAAACAACCCTAATATAATCAAATCTAATGTTCATAACTAACTAAATCATAAGTATACGTCTGTTTAATAATTCAATAATATACGATTATTGTTTTTTTATCTTCGTTTTTTATACATATATATAATTCTTTTTCTCTTGACTGATGTTTTTCTGAAATTGTTTCTTTATCATTTGTTATTAGCTTTGTTTTCCACCTTAATTATTATTCTTTTTATAATTTTGTATTTATTTGTACTTTATTATGTATGGATGCACCACCGTAAAGGTGTGTGCCACTGTTATGAAAGTGAAGTTCAATAAATACTGAAATACTAAATATTGAAAAAATCAAATGTCACACAACCAACTAAAAGCAGAAAAAGAAGCAGCATATAGCTCTGCTAAACTGGCACTATGAGGACAACCTTTACTATAAAACATTTTTTTTTATAAATCCAATAATAGGTTTTTATAAAGAAATCTACAAAATGTAACAACCGACAGCGTTCTTACAACACAAAAAGTTCAGACACGTTCAACATAACGTCACTGTTGGGCTTATCTATAAGACAATTATGACAAAAGAAAACTGATTACACAATAGATGGTCCTCTTTTGTTCTAAAGACTTGTCTACACCTACTGCATTTGATCGATTTTATTCAGAACATCTGGTATACTTATACATCATAGATAGAAACAAGTTAAATGTAGGGTTTTGAATTTAGCTAGGGTTATGGTATTTAGTTGTAGTCATATTTGAAATAATTAGGGTAAAACACACCTGCTCTAAAAAGGGAATAAGGTTGGATAAAGCACTGTTCTAAACAATAAAATAGGGTTAGGGTTAAAAATCCCTACTCTGCTCTTGTACTAAAAATGGAATAACAGTTTAAACACCCATGCTCTAAAAATGGAATAATCATTTAAACACCCCTGATCTTAAATGGAATAGTCCTGCTTCTCATTTTATGCAATTTAAGGTCACGTGATGCCAAATTCAGGCTTCTGATTGGTCGAGAGACTCCCAAATATGGAAAAATTTCCCTGGTTAGACGTAGTGCACTACTGATGGACGTCCTTAGAAAAACAATATATAAATAAGGAAACCTCGTGAATTATATTAAAATTCTCATTACCTAAACCGCCATATAATATAAAGCATAGTAGCAGCCAAACACCTATCAGTCGCCGATAAGCAGGCGGTCAGTTGAGTTAGAAAGAATCAGTATGCCGTACAAATCAAACATGTTCATCGTATATTTCTTTGTTATGTATCTTTATTGTGTTTGTGGCACTGCCACCGTCAAACTTCATTGCAATCCAGATGGAAGGATCGATTCGTTTGTTGGTCAACAAGAAATCATCGAATGTCAAATGGAATTTCAAGGCCCTTCAAGAAATGTAAATGCTAGGTGGACTCGGAAGATTTTTCATAAAACTGATCTTGTTGTAGATAATGATTATATTCAATCGATGAGAGAACCAAATATCGAGGCTCAAAAGATTGATTTCTCATTGTTTTTCAAAAATTTAAGCCAATCAGATAAAGGAATATATCGATTATCACTTCAAGATAGCATAGGTACTACTTTATTATCTGAACCCATCAGTCTCTTTGTTTGGCCACTACCAACTGAGACTTTGTGCAACTCATCAATCAGTGGCGATGTAGCAACATTAAACTGTGCAGTAACATCACCCTCTAAGCACAATCTGGAATGGAGAATTGAGCAACAAATACTGAATGGCACAACCAATGGCAATGAAGTAGGAATTCAAGTAGCACTGAACACCTCAACGTCTTTCGACCACCATACGTTTAGTTGTTTCATGAACGGATTAAATGCACTAGAGGGACACTTGGTCTGTAAAATAAAGTATGTGAAAAGACATCTAAGTAATATTAAGATCCTACAACGTGAATATATTTTCAGCGAAACGATCATTTTGGAATGCGTGGTTGATGAAAAAATCAGTTTTTATTTTGGTGATGAATTTCTAACAATCGATAATATAATTCGTAATGACATGCTGCCATTGCTCAGTGTAAATATTAGTGTTGACAAACAATCTCCTCGTTGGATATCTAATAATTCAGCAGTGAATGATGTAATAATTAAAAGTAATAAAACATATATGCTTATCATAGAAAATGTTTCATCTGATATGAACAACGCTAAAATTACTTGTAGAGTTAACGATACTGAAGCATTTACCATTTTATCAATTGCAAATGGAACAGAATCATTGCGAAACACAACTTTAAAACCAAGTGATTTCAAGAAATTTATAAATAATAGGCCTATTTACTTTTTTTTTATTGGTGTAGGTGCACTTGTAATATGTATTTTGTTAACTCTGTTTTGCTACTGCATGTACAGCATCATTGCGAGTCATAATCGACAAAAATCTCAACAAGATTTTGTAATTGATAATCAGTCAATCACTCAACCTGGAAATACGCCTGATTTTGCATTACAAGAAGTACAGAGTTATGACAACAGTTCTTACAACATGATGTTTCAAATGGGCTGTTCTCAACATTTAAGCGACAATGAACGCACTACACAACAATCGAATGAAAACAATGTGCATGTGCAACTACAACAAATCACGTTATGTACAAATGAAACAAATACTGAACCGTTGTATCTTAGTATTGAGTGATATATTAGTTGTTGGGAGAGCGGGCGTAGTGAAACTTAGCTACGGTATGGTTTAACTGCTGCTCTGTAAAATAGTCTTATATCTACCCATATAGATAAATTGTGTATTCTGAGTAAGTACAATACTTTCTTGAAAAGATAAGGCTCTACTAGTATTGTCTGTAAATCTTCAGTGTTGATCGAGATCAGCATTTTGTGAAGAAAATTATGTCTAGGCCGGCTGAAATAAGTAGGCCAACCAACATGGCGAATAAGTACCATACCAACGGGACTAACAAAGGCAACAAACACCTACACATTCATGATGATGAAAAAACACCCAGTGATGACGTAATCAGCATAGGTACCAACGCTGAAAGCGGTTACAAAAGGCATGA